TGAAAACAGAATTTAGTTAAACTAGGTATACTTTTGAAAATTCTTGTTTTAAACATAATTTTGACAGATATAAACATTTATAGAAAACCTACTGTATTTCAAGACTATAAGATAAACTGTGAATGATACATAAAAGGCAGTCCTTGTTGTCAATCATATTTTAATCATGCATTTAATTATGTTTTCCTAACACCAATTTTTGAAACCTTCCTAATAAAATGAAAAGAGTATTGACCTTGGCTTGAAACGACCAGGGTTAAACTACCAGAACTATCAATGAACTCTGACGAGTCTCTTTCTAAGCCTCTGTTCTCTCATCAGTAAAATAAGTATATCACTTCCCTGAGCACACAAGAGATGTAATGTGTGAAAATGCCAATGGATGACATTTAATGACAAATGACATTTAATGACAAAATCTCTATACAAATGAGTCATTACACAATCAGGCTTAATATTTAAACATTTTCAATATAAAAGTACATTAGAATTATTTATGAATAATAGTGAAAAACATTTGTTGAATATTTATAATGGGTCTCATTTTACATGAGTGAAACCTCACAACAGTCCAGCGACTTAAAAATTATTCATTTTATAGCTGAGGAAAATGCATAGGAAAGGTAAGTAGCTTTTCCTAAGATGGGCAACTAGTAAGAGGTAGAGCTTTCAATTACTCCCAGGCAAGGTGATGCCAGACCTATGCCTATATCTAAGTAACTATTATGCCATACTCCAAAATAATAAGAAGGCGTCCTTATGAAGCTGTTAACTTGAAAAAGTAAAAACATTTTAAATTACTAAAGGTAATCTAGAATTTTCTAAAATATTTGATTATATTCTGCTGCATGTAAATTACAAAATTTTATTATTTATCATAAAGAAAAATGGAAACAAATTCACAGTAGTAAATACACTATAAAACATCCACAGGGCATTAATACTCAGTCAAAAATAAAAGCGATTTAGAGCTTGAAAACTCATTAATATTATGAAGCAAAACAGTAATGTTCAAACAAATGTAGAAAATACTAATTTTCATAGAAAATAATGTCATATGCAAGAAAAAAAAACTAGAAAACAGGTATCAGATTTAACAATCTGTATTTCTTAGAAATCGTATTTTCCAAATTCTCTATAAATAAACATCAATATATTTGGCATTATAAAAAGTCAAGTAAACAACCTATGATCAGTGCAATGCTAAGTGATTTATATGCTTCTGCCAGTAGATGAACAAACATTTACCAAAGTCTAGAAAATTTGGCCCAAATGCTATGGATATATAAGTGACAAAACAAAGTCTACAGCTAAAAAACTGTATAAATTTGCACTAATAATGAAAGAAGATAACTTCAAACATGCAACAAAGATCTAATCTTAATGTTTTGAATTTACTCACACTTTCCTATTAGTAAGAAAGCCCTTTTCCTATCTCAAAAAAGGTCCTGAAATATATTATCTTTTCCTCCTGATTAACATGTCAGAAAGCCATAAAATTTGTATAGACAAAGAAAACAAAATATACAACAATCAGTTGTGTTTTTACATTACCACCAAATATATTAAAAAGAAATTAAGAACACAATTCCATTTACCACGACTTTAAAATACTGAAATACTTAGGAATAAACTTAATTAAGGAGATAAAACATCTCAACACTTAACACTCTAAGACACTGATGAGATACTGAAGACACAAATAAATGAAAAGACATCCCCGTCTGCATAGTTTAAAGGAATTAATATTACTAAAATGATAATAATATCCAAAGTGGCCTACAGAGTCGATGCAATCCCTTGCAAAATTCTAAAGGAATTTAGTAAAAATAACCCTAAAATTCATAGGGGACCACAAAAGATCCTAACTAGCCAAACTAATTCTGAGAAAGAACAACAAAGCTGGAAGCATCACACTTCCTGTTTCAAACTATACTACAAAGCTACAATATCCAAAGCCATATAACTATAACCATAAAAAACAGATAGATGTAATAGAATAAAAATCTCATAAATAAAACTCTGTGTATCTAGGCAAGTAATCTATGACAAAGGTGCCAAGAATACACAATGCAGAATGTATAGTCTCTTCAGTAAATGGTTATCCACACACAAAGAATGCATTTAGAACCTTTGCTTTATATATTATAAAAATAAATACCTAACTGTAAAGTTTTAAATGTAAAAATACTAGTAGAAAACACATGGGAAATCTCCTTGATATTGGTCTTAGAAATATTTTTTTTAAAATATGATCCCAAAAGTCATCAACAAGACCAAAACAAAGTGTGATTATATCAAACTGCAAAGCTGCACAGAAAATCGATCAACAGAATTGGAGAAAATATTTGCAAACCATATATCTGGCAATGGGTTAATATCCATAAAACATAAGGAAATACATATGACTAATAGCAAAAAAAAAGTAATTTTAAAATGGCCTAAGAATCTTCACAGATAGATTTCCAAAGAAGACATGAAAATAGGCAACTGTTTGATGGAAAAAATGCTATCATCAACCATCAGGAAAATCAAAATCAAAACCACAATAAGATGTCATCTTAAATCTTTTTCAGATCATTATTACAAAAAATACAAGAGATACTTATTGGCAAGAATGTAGAGCAAAGGGGATCCTTATATGATGGAGGTAAAAATTCTTCACCCATTATGGAAAACAGCATGGGAGTTCCTCAAAAATTTAAAAATAGGGGCAGGAGTAGAACCCAGCAGTTAAGTCTCTGGTTAAGATGCCCACATCCCACATTTGAGGGTCAAGGTTCAATTACTGACTCTGGCTTCTAACTCCAACTTCCTGCTAATGCACAGTCTAAGAGCAGCAGTGATGGCTCATGTAGTTATGCTGAAGCTGTTCACGTGGAAGACCTGGATTGAGGTCCCAGGCTCCTGGTTTGGGGTGACACAGTCCCAGTCATTGTGGACATCGAGGCTGGAAGTCGTAGATAGGAGCTCTGTCCTGTTGCTTCTCAAATAAATACTTTTAAAAAAATTGAAAAGAATTACGCTAAGATCTAGCAAATCTATCAAGAAAAGAAAGATGGAAGAGGAGAGGAGAATAGAGGTGAGGGGAGGGAAGGGAAGAGAAAAGGAAGGGAAAGGAAAAGAAAGAATCAGTGTATCAAAGAGATACCTGCCTGCCTACAATATCCGCTGCAGGATTCTTCACAATAACCAAACTAAGAATCTATCAACAAATGAACAGATAAACAAATGTTATATTTATATACAAAGAAACATCGTTCAGCCTAAAGAAAGAAGGAATCCTTCCAGTTGTGGAAACATGGAAGAATCTAGAGGACCTTACGCTAAGTGAAATAAGCCAAAGTCAGAAAGACAAATGATCTCATATGTGGCATTTAAGAGAACTGAACTCAAAATAACAGAATAGAATGATTGTTTTAAAAAGGTAGGGTGTCAGGTGAAATGGGGAGATGTTGATAAAGGCATACAGATTTTCAGTTAAGTAGAATAAGCTCTGGGCATTGTGACCATAGTTAATAATACTTTATTGTTTACTTGAAATTTGCTGTTATTATCACACACACACACACACACACACACACAAAGTTTAACTACAGATAGGGTAGGTATGCTGATTAATTTCAGCATGGTAACAGTCACACAATGTGTGAGTATACAGAGGTTAAAATTTTTGCACCAAATAAAACTGTCTTCCAATACCATTCCCCATAAACATTTAAAATTACCTGCATATACATATATAAAAACATCATATTACACAGCTTGAATATAAACAATCTTTTTGTTAACCACATTTCCATGAATCTTAGAAATTAAATAATGAGGGGCCGGCTCTGTGGTGTAGTGCCTGCAGTGCTGGCATCCTATATGGGAGCTGGTTCGAGTCCCGGCTGCTCCAATTCTGATCATGCTCTCTGCTATGGCCTGGGAGGGCAGTGGAAGATGGCCCAGGTGTTTGGGCCAGTGCACCCATGTGGGAGACCCAGAGTAAGCTCCTGGCTACTGGCTTCAGATCAGCACAGCTCCGACCGATGAGGCCATCTGGGGAGTGAACCAGCAGATGGAAGATCTCTCTCTCTCTCTCTTCCTGCCTGCCTCTCCTTCTCTTTTTAACTCTGACTTTCAAGTAAATTAATAAATCTTTAAAAAAAAGAAATTAAATAATGAAAACTTAGCAGTATCTTAAGGATTTAAGGAAAATTGATTGAGATTCCCTTAGTGATATTTCCATCCTCTTACTTATCTTCAGAAAAGAGAAAAATGTCCATTTATATTATACATATTCTCAGACAATACTACCTTTTCATTTACTTGCTTTTCTTAAAGAAATTGATTTTCTAACTGTAAAACTGTTGTATTAAGATAGATTACAATGTTTATACATTCAATTTTAATTACGTTTTCAGTACCCAATATAACCCAGGAGACAGTTATTTAGCATATTTAAAATATTTAATTGCTTAAAAATATACTCAGTTATACAAAAATTTTATTGTCTTAACTTTTTTTTTTTTTTTTTGACAGGCAGAGTGGACAGTGAGAGAGAGAAACAGAGAGAAAGGTCTTCCTTTGCCATTGGTTCACCTTCCAATGGCCGCCACGGCCAGCACAACATGCTGATCCAAAGGCAGGAGCCAGGTGGGGTGCAGGGCCCAAGGACTTAGGCCATCCTCCACTGCACTCCCGGGCCGCAGCAGAGAGCTGGACTGGAAGAGGGGCAACCGGGACAGAACCCAGCGCCCCGACCGGGACTAGAACCCGGTATGCTGGCACTGCAGGCGGAGGATTAGCCTACTGAACCACGGCGCCTTAACTTCTTTTAACTCACCTTTTAAATATCTTTCTTGATATATATTAAGACCAAATACCAAGAAATTTGAAGAAAATGACTTACATAACATATTTAACCTAATTAAGTGAAGTAAGGAAAAAAGTAGAAAGGGAAGAAAGATAGAACTATAAAGGAATGGAGGGAAAAAAAATGAGAAAATACTCACTTCTGTGGACCAGGTCCCAAGTATCATCAATTTGTGCCTGGGTTGGGAAATGACCACAGTCATTGAAGTACTTAAGGAGTTCATTTCGATCTAGTCCTTGCCAATCTTCTCTCTTAGCAAACATTGTTTCATAGTCTAAAAGTAAAATAAAACACATTTTATTTATAAATGATGTATTAAGTATACTTCACCTAAAGGTTCACTGGATTTGAACAAACTCTTACTCCAGGTTGTTATTTCTACCAATATGTTTCCATGAGGCTATGCCCATGAATGCTCCCTTAGCATCATGGCAACCAGAAGGTAAAAGTCAGAAAGAAGTGCTTCCCCTCCCCCCATACTTCCTATTCCACCATAAGGAAATTTGGATTTTACTCCCTTAGGCGAACCCTGGGTTCCTCTATTTTGCTTTCATGATAATTCTCCACAGACTCTACATATATCAATGCTGAAAGCATGTCCCAAGACATGGTTTTAATATCAGGATTTCTGGTGGCCTGACTCCTGCTGACTCCTTTAAGTATTTATTTCTTATCAGCTACTCATTTTCATTAATTTATTTCTGGACTCTACTCACATACAACTTTTTGGATTGATGATTCCATTTTGGATTAGCCTAGTGAGCTGTGGCGCCGGCCTTGATGATTCCATTTTGGACCGCTTGTTCTACTTCCCATTCATCCCCTAATGCAGAGCAATGTCTACTCCTCTCATTGATTTTATGGATTTCTATTTCCTAATTTAAGGTATTTTGCCACTCCTCTCTCAAGACTACCACAGGCCGGCGCTGCGGCTCACTTGGCTAATCCTCCCTCTGTGGCGCCGGCACCCCGGGTTCTAGTCCCGGTTGGGGCACCAGATTCTGTCCCAGTTGCCCCTCTTCCAGTCCAGCTCTCTGCTGTGGCCTGGGAGGCAAGTGTTTGGGCCCTGCACGCGCATGGGAGACCTGCAGGAAGCACATGGCTCCTGGTTTCACTCTGTAGCGGCCACTTACGGGGTGAACCAAAGGAAAAGGAAGACCTTTCTCTCTCTCTCTCTCTCTCTCTCTCTCTCTCTCTCTCTAACTCTGCCTGTAAAAAAAAAAAAAAAAAAAAAAAGACTACTGTGGGGAGTAACAGGGAGTGACTCGGACTAGACTAAATTACTGGAATTAAGACTTATTCTATGCATCTGCTCTCCCACAATATGGCGCTGAGAAGGGAAACAGCTTCTACACAGCTGCCTCCAGTTCAACCAATAAACTGTAGGACCTGCTCCTGATTGGAGGAGAGCAGCGTACTTGGCGTGTGGGTAGCAGAGTTGGGATTGGTGGAAGAGGACTATAAAGGAGGAGAGAGACAACATGCACCAGGAACATCTGAGGGAACACCTGAGCAGCCCCCGAGAGAGCCGGCCGACAGTGTGCCGCTCCCCTGCGGAAGTGGGGAATGTGGCAGGGGGAACCGCCCTTCCACAGAGGTGGAAGGGTCGGTAGCCAACCCGGGAAGAACCAGCAGCAAACCCGGGGAGGGCCGAGCAGACAAAAGAACAGCGCAGGGTCCTGTGTCGTTCCTCCACGAAGATGGGGAGCGACATAATGGTGCCGTGACTCGGATATGAAGCCTAGGCAGGGTTTAGTGTCGTTCCTCCATGAAGAGGGGGAGCGACATAACGGTGCCGTGACTCGGATATGAAGCCTAGGCAGGGTTTAGTGTCGTTCCTCCACGAAGAAGGGGGAGCGACAGACTACCACAGGAAATCACTCACTGGAGCCAACTGTCTCCTGTCATCTGTCTAATGTTACTTTACGTTAGACAGAAGTTGAAGAATGACCAAAGGAATCAACACATATTTTGTAAATCTAATTCTCTATGATCATGTTGCATTTTCTTCCCTCAAGGGTAATACTGAGTCTCCACTCTACAGTATGTTGGATTAGTAAAAGTCAGTATTTACAAGATGACAGGGACTGCTTAAGTACACATGTAGTTGTTCAATATGAGGTCCCAATCACAAAGGAACCATGGTGGTTTCTAAAAGAAGTTGTATCAACCACATAGATTTCAATTTTCAAATCATTCATGCACTTTTTTGAAGGAGATGGTAATGCCAAATCAACAAATACAAGTGGTAACATAAATATGAGTACCTATTCCAGATCCTGAAACACAGCTATAAAATAAATTCATAGCACATATTAAGTATATCTATGAATTTTTTTCTCTTGTCAAATCAGCAAACTAGAGCAGTTACTTTTCCTATCCCATTCATATCTACTTGTTCCTTAAATTTCTGTGCCTGCTGATATAATTTTCTATGGCCAGCATCTGTATTTCATTGCCTAAGAGCTCCATCTGCTGCAGAACTTCACTCTGCCCACCTGTGTAGCAAGCAAGAGGTCTCAGGGAATTAATACTTCCATTGCAGTAGCCTCAACCAATGACTGGGGAGAGTTTGTACATAAAAACCAGCACTTGAGGGAAGTTGGCTATACTGTTTTTTTGAGTTCTCTAGAGGAATTAAGATCCAGTTGTTGACACCACAACTTGTTTCATAATGCACTCTTTTTTTTTTTCAACTTCCATCCCTTCCTTGTCTCATGTTTCCATTCCACTAACATTACTTCCTGTGAACAATTCCCAAATATATTAGTGGATGTTAAAATCCTGTGTCATGCTCCTTGTGTGGAAAAACCCATCCTAAGAATAAAGAATGTCACTTTTGACTTTTATGTTGAAATAAATATATTTCTCCTTGAAAAAAAAACAGAATACAACTGATCTTTGAACAATATGAGTTTGAGTGGCATGAGTCTACTTATTAGCAGTGCTTTTTTTTGAGATTTTCAATAATTTTAAAATACTTACAGATGAACTAGATAGCCTCTGACCACAATGGAATGAAGCTGGAAATCAACAACTCAAGAATCTCTAGAACATATGTAAGCACATGGAGACTGAACAACATACTCCTGAATGAACAGTGGGTGACTGAAGAAATAAAATATTTCTGGAAGGAAATGAAGATGATAATACCACATATCAAAACTTATGGAATACAGTAAAAACTGTTAAGATGAAAGTTTATAGCAATTGGTGGCTATATCAAGAAATTGGAAAGGCACCAAATAGATGAGTTATCAATGCATCTCAAAGATCTAGAAAACAGCAGTAAATCACGCCCAAAACTAGTAGGAAAAAAGGAGATAATTGAAATTAGAGAAGAAGGCCGGCTCTGTGGCTCAATAGGCTAATCCTCCGCCTTGCGGCGCCGGCACACCAGGTTGTAGTCCTGGTTGGGGTGCCAGATTCTGTCCCGGTTGCCTCTCTTCCAGGCCAGCTCTCTGCTGTGGCGAGGGAGTGCAGTGGAGGATAGCCCAAGGCTTTGGGCCCTGCACCCGCATGGGAGACCAGGAGAAGCACCTGGCTCCTGGCTTCGGATCAGCGCGATGCGCCGGCCACAGCACGCCAGCCGCGGCGGCCATTGGAGGGTGAACCAATGGCAAATGGAAGACCTTTCTCTCTGTCTCTATCTCTCTCATTGTCCACTCTGCCTGTCAAAAGAAAAAAAAAAGAAAAGAAAAGAAAAGAAATTAGAGAAGAAATCACAAAACTGAAACAACAATACAACAAAAAATACAAAAAATTAGCAAAACAAAGAGCTGGTTTTAAAAAAATAAAGATAATTGGCACAACATTAGCCCAACATACCAGAAAAGGATTGAGAAAACCCAAGTCAATAAAATTAGAGATGAAGAAGGAAATGGAACACAGACATCAGGGAAGCAAAAAGAATAATCAGAAATTACTATAAAGAGCTGTACACAGATAGATTGGGAAACCTAGAAAAAACGGATAGACTCTTGGACACATGCAACCTACCTAAATTGAGCAATGAAGACATAGAAAATATAAACAAACCCTAATCCACTGTTGGTGGGAATGTATATATATTCTGTTTATATAGAAAATATAAACAAACCCTAATCCACTGTTGGTGGGAATGTAAACTGTGGAAGACTGTAAGAGATACTTCAGAAATCTGAATATAGACCTACAATATGGCCCAGCCATCCCACACCTGGGAATTTACACAGAGAAAATGAAATCAGCACATGAAGGAGTTATCTGCACCCCCATGTCTATTACTGCTCAATTCACAATAGCTAATATATGGAATCAAGCCAAATCCCTGTCAACTGAAGACTGGATAAAGAAATTATGGGATATAAACACCATGGAATGCTACACAGCAATAAAAAATATGAAATCCGGTAGTTTGCAACAAAATGGATAAAACTAGAAAACATCATATTTAGTGAAATAAGCCAGTCCCAAAAGGACAAATACCACATGTTCTCCTTGATCTGTGATAACTAATAGAACATCTAAAAGGTAATCTATGGACGTGAAATTAACACTTTGAGATGCACTGTCTTTGAACAGACTTTGTCTTCACTGTTGAAGAATAGATTTTTTTTTTTATTTCATACAATTTGTTTAACTCGTTACTTAGTACAGAGTTAACTGTATGTTTAAAGTTAATTGAAAATAGGTCTTAGTAAAAACTAAAAAAGAGAATAGAAGACGGAAGCGGAAGATGGGTGGGAGGGTAGGTAGGGTGGGAAGGAATTATGAAAAGCATGAAGTTTATATTCCTTAAATAAAATGTTTCTCTGGGAAAAATTTTTAAAAAACCTAAGTTATTGAAAAATTCTAATTCTAACATTTTGCTTTATTATTTTCTAGCACATAAAAAATTTCCATATAAAAATAAACTATATCTCATGTATTATTTGTTTACCCAAGAGAACTCCTCACACAGGAAAGTAATAAATACTTGATGTTTCAAAAAACATGTATAATGCTTCTTATCTCCTCTGAACAGTTCATCTCTTCAGTAAATTGGGTACCACAGGAAAAAATGATCTCTCCATTTTTAAGCATTTTCTCCATATATAATAAATAAAACATATGAAATATGTTTATCAGCTGTTAATGTTATCTGTAAGGCTTCTGGTCCACAGTAGGCTATTGGTACTTAAAATTAGGTGCATTAAATTGTATACAAAGATTTTCAACATGGGTCAGTGCCTATAAATCCTGGTATTTCAAGTGTCAACTATACACACTTTATTATGTTTTCCTTCTGCCAATCAATTTTAAATCAGATTTTATGGACTTATTAACATTACAACATTGCAACAATATTAATAGATATCAATGCCCTTAATATGTATATCATGCCCTACCAAGCAAACCTTCAGCAACATACTAGCATAATCAATATTCTGTTGATCATTAAAGTTAACGTAAACATTAACCATAAATATTAATGAGATTTTCAGATCATTGAGAAATGCTTTAAAAAGTACATAGATATCTGCCAAATATCACTCAATCAGCACATGGGAAGGATGGAAATTTTTCTTTTTTAAAATGTTTAATATAAAGAAAATTGATTCAGATATTTCACAGATACAATTCTAAGAGTATAACCATACTCCCCTCAGTTCCTCCCTCCCTTCTTCAATCTCCCTTCTTTTTTTTCCATTTAATTATTGCAATAACATCTAAGGAACATGAGGACAAATAAGAACTTGCAAATTCTATGGACCCTAGAGTTACTTTAACTTATAGTATAAATTGATTCACTGATAGGCAATTCTTTTAAATTTCAATTGACTAAATATATTCTATGGTTCAAATCCTACACTGGACCCAGAACTATCTGTCCTAACTGAACGCTTTTAGTCTATCTTGCCTCATGTCAGTCTAATCACAACAAAAGTACCAGTGTAATGTCCTCAACCTATACTGCAACGTTATCCTTTTTCACAGTCACCCGATGGCTTTCCGCCTTTCACAAGGTAGAATACAATGTTCTGCGAAGCCTGATATATCTTGCACTCCGCATTTCTCTCCAATCTCACTTTGTTCTGTTCTCACTCACAAACTCCATTCCAGCAATACTAGTCATGCCACTTCCTCCAATTTAAGGCCTCTGTGATGGCTGCTGTCTCCGCCTAGATCATTCTTCCCCCCTATATCCACCAGGCGGTCTCTCACTGTTTTTAAGACTTCTACTCAAGTTTCTTCCCAGCTAAACACCACCAGGTGTTGGTTGGAAAAGAAACCACATCGGATTTCTGTTTTTTTTTTTTTTCTATACTGAGAGGTTATTTTAAGATGCAAAAAAATACTAACATATGCAGTTACAAAGTAAAGATGTTAAATCACAGAAAGAAAGTAAAACTAGGGAAAATAAGATTCTATAAGGTTAAAAATGAATTTAGTGACAGAGTATTTAACTGAACAAAATAGCAGGGGCATGTTGGAAAGCATATAGTATAGAGGCCAGCACCACGGCTCAATAGGCTAATCCTCCACCTGTGGCACCGGCACACCGGGTTCTAGTCCGGGTCGGGGCGCCGGATTCTGTCCCGGTTGCCCCTCTTCCAGGCCAGCTCTCTGCTGTGGCCAGGGAGTGCAGTGGAGGATGGCCCAAGTGCTTGGACCCTGCACCCGCATGGGAGACCAGGAGAAGCATCTGGTTCCTGGCTTCGGATCAGCACAGTGCGCTGGCAACGGCAGCCATTGGAGGGTGAACCAACGGCAAAGGAAGACCTTTCTCTCTGTCTCTCTCTCTCACTCTGCCTGTCAAAAAAAAATATATATATATATATGGTATTTGAAAAATCCTTAGCTAAAAAATAAAGTAAGAGGAAAAGAAAAGGTGCTCAAAGTGATAACTGTATGATCCTACTACACATTTTAATAAATAATATTGTAAATTCTTATTCATATCAGGTTATGAAATATAAAACTAATGCAACAGTATTAAAAATATGCTACTGAATTTTGTTGTAGGGGTTACAGAGTTTATGAGCAAAAGTTAAAATTTGCATATGGAAGTGATTTCTCTAGCATGTACTCGATCTTTTTCTTAAATTTTTCTAAATAAAAAGGAGTCCCTGCAGCTTCTAAACAGAAGGGTCTTTACTTTCACTGCAAAGGTCTCTTACTTGATTTTTCTCTATTGTTCTACCTGTTTTTCCATCTCTCCAACACTTTATCCCTGATTTTTTCTTCTGGAAACCAGGCCATTGGGCTAGCTGAACTGATCTAGCTTAGCCCTCCAATCTATTTAGAATCATCCCTGTCTTTCTCTTTCTCTGTCTCTCTCTTTCTGATTTATTCCTCCCTCAATTTCTAGTTACAGAAAAGGATAATTCTAACTCAAAGAGCACTAGTTATCTATAAATATCTTTTTACATATAAAATTATCATAACTAATGAACTTACCAAAAACTATTCTATAATGAAATATTGGCAGTCCTTCTGATAAACCAGGCACTTACTAAATAGTGGATATTCGATCATGTCCATACCCCTGTCTTCATGGAACTTTGCCATAAGTGTGAAATAAACATTTTAGAGCTGGCTGAACTACCCAAAATGTAGTACTTTAAACTTATAAAGCAATAGGATGATAATGCCAATTGACTATAATTTACTTACATCATTTTTGTTACTGAGGAAACTAGTATCCTATCTATCCTAATCTATCTATCCTAATCCGAAGAAATAATTAATTCATTAATTATAAAAAGAAATCAGAAACCCTGAAAGTTGAGAACTTGTTCTAGGGATAAAATCCCAAAACTCATAAGCAACATGATATTTTCTCTGCTCAGTGTCCACTAAGTGGTCTTCTGGTATCAATATTTAATTTTCCTATGGGGAGCTGTGCCTGTGCAATGGAAAGCCTCTGTTTAACTCTCAAACAAGGTTTCTATCTCCCATTTAAACGGGTGTCACTGCACACTTACTCCCCATGTAGGATCTCTGTCCTTAATGTGTTGTACTATGCGAACTAACAGTAAAACTAGTACTCAAACAGTACTGCTTAGTATACACTAAGTTGATCTTCTGTATGTAAAGATAATTAAAAATGAATCTTGATGAAGAATGGGATGCGAGAGGGAGTAGGAGATGGGATGGTTTGTGGGTGGGAGGGTAGTTATGCGGGTAAAAAACGCTATAATCTAAAAGTTGTACTTTCAAAATTTATACTTATTAAATGAAAGTTTAAAAAAAAAGTGTCAGCCAGGTGACTCAAGCTAAACCAATCAGTTGCTGTCCTCTGAAAATTAAGTTAAAGCAAAGGAACAAAAGCTTTTACCAGATATGGGCTTCTCTACCCTCACAGGCTACAAAAGATTGAGCTTATTTCCCACTCCTCAGTTGTCAGGAGCAGCACTGATTTACATTCTGTCTAAAAGCTGATTCTTCAACTATCTGCCCAATATTCTCCATATAAATTTCCTTTTTACTTTGACAGAATGAGTATTCTGTTGCTTATAGGCAGAGGCTCCTAATACAAAATCCAAATATACAAATGCCATTTAAAGCATAGTTTACAGCAATAGAAAACATGGTCTACCTTTGGTTTCTAGGCATAGTTATACATAAAATTTCAATGTTAAATTCATTCCAAACCTAAAACCAAAACAGAAACAACTACATCACTTACATTTTTTTCTGTCCATCCATTCTTCTAGCTCTGCAAGGTTTATAACCTGCCGTGTTCTCCAAAGCCCAAGTCGATATCTAACTCGGTGGATCATTGCACGATACATGTTTATAACTGCTCTCAAATTGGATCCATGAAACAAAGCCTATAAAATGGTAATACAAACAGTGAAGCTTGTTATATTTAATTTGATTTTGCCTCTTTCATCTATTTCACCCAATTTCTTGGATTATGGCTGTAATTTATCAATGTTGACTTTCTTGGTTAAATATATACTTTGTTCAGTGACATAATCTCAATTTCAGAGAGCATCATTATTAGTTATAATCAGCTATTCATAATTCCTATATAAGATATTCTGATGATGGCTATCTGCACAAATGCTTCCTAAGTTGGTGTTCAGATTTCTACAATATATAGTTCAATCATCCAGAACACAATCAAAATTTTAGTAAGACAGGAGTCTGTAATGGATAACTGTTGGGTAAACAGGCCATGCTGGGTCAAATCCTTGTTCTTTCTTTCCTTTGAAAGTTGTACATTATTCTACTTTACCTAATTTACATCATGCTATTTCAGGCTTCCTGGTTAGTTTCTAAAACTTCTTTGGATCTTAAAGAAAAGAAACTCCTTCAACACAACAGCATCTGTTGTCTTAGTAGTTTACTTGCATTTTCTGCATTCCACCATGATGATCTTCAAAAAGTCAGAGTTCTAAAATTTCATCTATTTCAGGTCTTTCCCCTCTTATCTAAACAATTTTATTTAGTAATTCAATTATTTTTACACATTTACTGATTTATTAATTTTTCTATATTTATTAATTCTTTATTGTTAATTATAGGTTTATTTTCCTGTTCTTGACTTTTAAAATTAAAAACATAATTAATCTATTTTCATTTTTTAAGTAATACAGTTAACTTCATGAATTTTCCTCTGACTCAACTCTCCAATGGTGTGCTTTGCATGATTTTTATAAGCAAAAAAATTGAAGAAAAAAACTTGGAAATAATTTTGCCAAGGCCCCATAGTTAGTACATTGCAGAATTGGTTTTGAAATCAGAATACAGACTCTCCAGAACCAAAATTTTTAATTATATTCTAAATTTATCTTAATTTAATTTAATTTAATGTTTACCCATTTTATCTGTTTTTTGCTTCTTTCCTAATATATTTATTATATTTATGATTGTTCTTGTACCTGTCATGTTAGCTTCTCTTTTGTGTGATACTTTAAAGAATGTATTATCATTTAGTGATACTTCCCAAATTTTTAAATGCTATCCTTATTAAATATACATTTCTAACTTATCAATATTAATGAAATATTTTAATTTTCCTTCATGGAATAATAAATAAATAAAATTCCACTACTTTCCTCTTCTCCTCTTTCCATGTAATGGCAAATTTTAAATGTTGGTTAATATATTTAAATATTTAGTAATATTCTCCTGTGTGTATTTTAAGCAGTCTTTTGTTCAGTAGACTTTTGTCCCTTTTTAAAAAAATAATGAATTGGTTGCAGTTTTGAAGCATTTCTCCACAAATGTGTCTCGGTAGGAAGTAGAACCCACTTCCCACAATTTGAAGCCAAAAGTCAGATGCTCATGACATACTCTCTTCTGTAGCTGGGTTGCAGACATGTGACAAAACTCCACCCACTATCTGCACCAACCCCAAACACTAATGAATAAAAACTAATGATGCTTTCAAAAGCAGAACAGTGGAAAATCTATTTTTATTATAGAGTAACTGTGACAGCAATAACCATTTTTCGAGGGCAGCATTCATGGAAGCAGGGGTACCCCGGATTCAAGAACTGCATCAGATTCTTTCTGAGTAACACTTGACTGGAGTCCTGGGACCTACCGAAAATTCATTATGCTTTCATATATCTGAGCTTAGTTACCCAAACCTCAACCCAATACTCTGAGCATCTTTCTGCTAAAATCTGCCACTAGGCTACTTTTACCTATAATCAAAGGCCACACTAGGTTTTCATTGTATCCTGAGAAGATGAGCAGAGAAGTCCATACTGGAGTGTATTTCTTGGAAATTTACTAAGAGAACAATGGTATTGGACACTGTATATTTGTCAGAAAAATATACCAATATTTATAACAAAATATTGAAATATAAGGAATTACTGTGAACTAATGATTATAATTTTCTAATTCCTTAATTTAATGAGCAAATATATCATACCTATCACACACTAACATTTAATAAATTTTTCCAGGATACATTTTCAGTCTGTCTTTTGCGTTTGTTCGTTTGTTTGAAAGGCAAAGTGACAATCACAGGGAGAGACCGAGAAGAGACAGATCTACATTCTGCTGGTTCACATCTCAGATCCCCACAACAGCTAGGTCAAAGTCTGGAGCCAGGAACTCTATCCAGGTCTCTCATGTGAGTGGCAAAAACTCAAACACCTGGGCCATAATCTGGTGTCTCCCCAGTACATTGGCAGGGAGCTGGATTGGAAGCAGTATATTTGGTACTCTGATATGGGATTTGCACATCCTAAGTGGTGGTTTATCCCAGTGTGCCACACGCCCACTTTTTTTATTCTTTAAAAAATGAACTGTGTGCTTATTTGGAGGATTCCACTACCCACTAGTAGGACTTAATTTCTTTGATTACTAGTATGACTAGCCTCTTCACATTTACTAGCCATTGGTGTTTTTTCCAACTGTGAAGTACTAGTTCATGTCTTCTATCTACTTTTTATGTTATCATTATAATATGTTCCTAAAATGTTTGTAAGGGATCTGTATATATTGAAGACTTTAGCTTGTGTCAAGTTTCAGCAATTATTTTTCTAATTTATTTAATTTTCCAAAAATGCTATGCTACACTTATAAACATAATGTCACCAAATCTATTGTTCTAACCTTGTCTAAACACTTATATGTGACAGTATCCAAAAAATCTTTATTCAAATACCTTATAAAAACAAAAAAGGAAAACTGTTAAAAATGACTAAAACCATACACAATGAATAACAATGAAGTTTTCTAAGTATAATAACTGTGCATACACACACGCGGGCACACACATACAAATATGCAAGGCACAAATACAGTAACATTAAGCAAATTTTTTGATTCATTTCCACACCAACTAATGAATTACTGACACCCCAGTCAAGCACAACTAAAGGATGTATCTCCCTGTGTATGGTTCCTCTTGTTCTTTTTCAGGCCTCTTTTCTGGGTCTCCTGCTATTGCCCCCACATTCTGATCAGGTCGGAATGATTAATTTTATTACTACATGTACTCAATGATTCTGTCTTTAATTGTTGCGTATAGAGACTTTAAGTGCACATTCTTGGCCAACTTCACCATATATAAACATAGTGATATTCCTACCCTAACCTCCCTCCCGCCCATGCACTCAACTTCTAACATCCTTCCTTTCTTATTCTTTCTTTTAATTTTTACAATGATCTACTTTGAGTTTATTTGATACTCGTAAGTTTACTGAGAAAAGAATTCAACAAATAGCCGGTGCCTCGGCTCAATAGGCTAATCCTCCACCTGCGGCGCCAGCACCCCGGGATCTAGTCCCGGTCAGGGCGCCAGATTCTGTCCCGGCTGCCCCTCTTCCAGGCCAGCTCTCTGCTATGGCCCGGGAGTGCAGTGGAGGATGGCCCAAGTGCTTGGGCCCTGCACCCCGTGGGAGACCAGGAGAAGCACCTGGCTCCTGCCTTCGGATCAGCGCGATGCGCTGGCCACAGTGCGCCCGCTGCGGCGGCCATTGGAGGGTGAACCAATGGTAAAGGAAGACCTGTCTCTCTGTCTCTCTCTCTCTATCACTGTCCACTCTGCCTGTCAAAAAAAAAAATTAAAATTAAAAAAAGAGTTCAACAAATAGAAAGGGAAAAAAACACTCTTCCTCAACAGTAGAGACAGGGCTATAAACAGTCATCGAATCTCAAAATGTCAGTTTCACTAATATCCATTGCATTTTTTGATACTCTGTTAGTACCACAGATCAGTGGGATCATATGGTATATTTCTTTTTGAGACTGGCTTATTTCCCTATGTATAATTGTTTCCAGTTGCCTCCATTTTGATGCAAAAATAAGATTTCATTCTTTTTTACAGCTGAGTAGTACTCCATAATAGAGAGATAGATAGATATAAATATACATATATAGATAGATGTGTATGCGTGTATCTACATCTCTATCTCTATCTTTATCTCTATCTATACCTATCTATGTATATAGTCAATGTGGTGATGATCAGCAAATTGTATGATGTAAAAGATCCAGGAAGTCACCTGGGAAGAAAGCTTTCTTAGAGACAGGATGAGAATCCTTGCCAAATTGAGCAAATTTTATGGGTGGGAGAATTTCAGATTTTTCCTCAGGTGTGTTAAAGTAGAAAGGAATTTAGTGATCACTGACAAATCCCCACAATTTTTTTTAAATTTTTAAAATTTTTTTTATTTTTGACAGGCAGAGTGGACAGTGAGAGAGACAGAAAGGTCTTCTTTTGCCATTGGTTCACCCTCCAATGGCCGCCGCGGCCGGCGCACTGCACTGATCCAATGGCAGGAGTCAGGTGCTTCTCCTGGTCTCCCATGGGGTGCAGGGCCCAAGCCCTTGGGCCATCCTCCACTGCATTCCCTGGCCACAGCAGAGAGCTGACCTGGAAGAGGGGCAACCAGGACAGAATCTGGCACCCTGACCAGGACTAAAACCCGGTGGGCCGGCACCGTAAGGCGGAGGTTTAGCCTGTTGAGCCACAGCGCCGGCCCCCACATTTTTCTCCATGGCCCAATCTTCCTTCTGAATTCTGAACCCATACACCAAATTGCCTCCAAGACATTTCAAAGATTTCTCATAGGCACTTCAAGCACAAAGTGTTTAAAAATGTCTCAACCCACTTTCCTTGCCTCCTCACTATTCCAGCTGAAGACACTTTAAATTCCGTATTTCTCAACCAAGGCCAATTTGCCCAGGGCAAAGACCTAGAAATCTTTCCTGACTTCTCCCATATCCTTATCACTGAATCTGATCAAAGACAAAATATTATCTGCTTTCATTTCCTCCATCCCTACCTCATCATCATGGTCATCAGCCACCATGCACTAGGTTATGGAAAAAGCATACTAATTGTTCTCCCTTCATTTTG